GGCGGGGACGACCTTATTTAAAATGGTTTTAAAATAGAGTGGTGCGTCGACGGTTTGTGGGGATGACCATGGTGCCCTTCGGCCTGTTCTTGCTTTAACCCTGCGCTGGCGCTACTTGAACGAAGGACGAAACACCGACCTTGCCGTCCAATTCCTGCTTACCGTGTGAGTCATATCACGGCCTGGCGGCAAGGATAAAGCGCTTGGACTTAACCGCCCGAGCCGCGACCTCTTCGTCGTCATACACATAGTACCTTCGTTTAACCTTCGTCAAGTAGAACCACTTTAGTCAACATGTGCATGTCGTCAAAAGTTGGCGTCCACTTGGCAAAGACCGATCGAAGGACATGGCGAACATGAGCTGTTCTTCGACGTTCGCAGGGATGAGATGGGGCTTGACGTAGTTCGACCGCGCCTTAAAGCGAGAATTCTTCATGTGGGGAAAGATCGTCGTCATAGGGATTCCATACGCAGCCGACAGAGAGCGCAAGGTCTGCCGTTGCATTTGTGGCACGTTTCGGATAGCAGCTTTAATTTCGTCGCTTGTTCGGAGCGCATGGCGTCCAGAATTCCCTAGAAAAGTACATCCTCACATACGTAACCATAATTGCGTAAACCAATATATATATCAGGTTTGAGAGAATTACCTTTGGTTTTTGTAGTAACATCGGCGGCACGGTAACCGTCGCGAAGCGAGAGACACGCTTTGGTCCACAGACGTGTTATCGTTCGCGGATGGCAGCGAAACATGTGTGCAAGCTCGGTGAGAGCACCACGTGGCAGCACTCCATCAACAGCGACGCTAAGCAGCGTTTCGAAGGTCATGCGGTGATGGGCGAAGCTCAGGTGCTTACGCACGTCCGCGAGGTCCCGGACGGCGACAGGAGCATCAGCGGTTCCCCGCGGTGAACGAGGAGGCATGTAGTGGCGATAGGAGTGTGTCGGACGTGTTGCATATTCGATCAATTGTGGAATGAAGTACTGTCAGATCATTTTGTAATCTGTCCATGACCCGGAAATTTTGCCGCGCAATATGTCAACAACCAAAATGGCAGGAAAGTGCTATAAACTACCCAATCAAAGCAGAGATCTTGTTCTTTCCAGTACGCCAATCAGACACTCAATCGGAGTATTATTAGAAAAATGCCTCCGTTCAAAAGTATAACATGACAATTTTTGTGGAGCAGAGAATTCATAGCAGTGGACACTTTAAGTGGATCCGAGTAGCACAGCGACGAAGTTCACTAGCAATGCAAGATGAAGGATATGGAAAGGCTTGTCGAGATCCATGAAGCATTGAATCAGCGCCCGGATTGCCATCACAAGCATGGAGTTTACTACGACAGTCCTGCAACGGGTTTTATCTCTCAACGAATGCAACGATGGAGTTCTTGGGGCTGGCTTCTCATATGATTTTTTAATTCAAATGCGATCGAAATTGCCCAACAATCGCGCCTCCAACTGGAATCTGGAATCTCATACAGTATTCGACGGGAAATTGCACCGTTACATCGGAAAGAAAATTCTGCTCCATTTAACGAATAGTCCGAAATTGGACGGAAATTTGAGTGTTGTAAAAACGTGGGGAATTGTGAAAGCAATTCTCAGAGGATTTTAAAATATATACGACGCTGTCTGGGAAGGCGATTTAACAGCACGCGCTTTTCTTCTTGGACCCCTTAGCCGCGGCGGCAGTCGGCGCGTTGTCAGAGTTGATTTCGATCTTGTTGCCTTGGGGCAAGCTCGCAGAATGCTCCTCGGCCTGCATCGTCTTGCGACTCATAAGGTTGTAAATCTCCGTAAGGATGCGCTGGAAGGCCGTATCGACTCCCGTGGCATCCAACGCCGATGTCTCGAGGAAGGCCAAATTGTGCTTTTCAGCAAACGCCATCGCCTCTTCAGTTTGAACGGCGCGCAAGTGACGCAGGTCGCTCTTGTTTCCGACAAGCATGATCACCTACGATCACATACGGCATTTTGTTCGTGGAATCATTTTTCGTTCCAGCATGAGGCGATTTTACGTACGGTGTTAGCATCGGCGTGGTCTCGCAATTCCTTCAACCATCGCTCGACGTTTTCAAACGTCGGGTGCTTGGTGATGTCGTAAACGAGCAAGGCTCCGACGGCGCCACGGTAGTACGCGCTCGTGATCGCACGGTACCTTTCTTGCCCAGCCGTATCCCAAATCTGTGCTTTGATCGTCTTGCCTTCGGCCTGAATGGATTTCGTGGCAAATTCGACGCCGATGGTTGACTTGGACTCGAGCGAGAACTCGTTGCGTGTGAAGCGCGAGAGAAGATTCGATTTGCCCACTCCAGAGTCCCCGATCAGCACGACCTTGAAGAGGTAGTCGTACTCTTCATCTGCCTTCCCAGTTGCCATGGTGATCGTGTTCGACGATGGAGCGAAGTGGTCGACTCGAGGGTGGATGCTGGAGGTCGAAAATGATTTTCTTCCCCTCCTCAGCACGTCGGCGGTTTTGTATGTTGAGGAGAAAACCAATACATTTTTCAATTATTCCCTTCAACTCCAATTTTGTATACAATTAAATAAATCTCCTCTTCACTCGATGATTGGGCCAATTCCTACACAGGAAACTCCTCCCAACTGCCGCTGACGCTCTCCACCTCGCGACGACGCAGCTTGCGGCGACCATTCCACGTTATGCCGCCACGCTTGACGTGTACATAGCATTCCTTGGTTAGGTGTGGCATAGTATCATCGTTCGATCAGGTTGCAGTAACTCCGGTAGCTGAAGTGTGGTGTGCGAGGTCGAGGAAGTTTCATGACTACTGCCGATGGGCCGATGGCGTATTTCAATATGGACTTTGCGATGCTTTTTCCATTAGCAGATCCATTTTAAGTGTATTCGAGCCGGCGTCGTGGCCCGTGTCTGCAATGACCTTGGTTGCGCTTGCTCTAGAGAGGCCGCTTGCACCACCACAACTGGGCTCGCTGTTTCACAAAGACCGTACGAATAATATCTATATTATCCGGACAACCCCCTGAGATTCACACCTTCGAAAGATACATGTTTGAGGTGAAGCCCGAGACGCTCGATGCCGAGACATCGCCGTCGCTCCTGAGCAACAATTTGTCCGTGAGCAAGGAGATCATGGTGAGAGCACTTGTGTAACAGCATGGCGGACTCGTTTATGCAGCTGTCATTCGTGTGCAGGTGTTTGCTCACTTGGAAGATGTTGTTGTGCTCAACCCAAAAGCATCCAAGTTGTGCAACAAGATCACCCTCGTGGAAAAAGCGATGGTGTACCAAGTCCTCGTGTGCAACTTGGGTGGTGAGACTCACTTGGTCATCGCGACGGAGTCGGGGTGTCAGGTCCGTGCTCCACCCCTCGCTGTCATTCGTCACGCCGTTCCTGTAGATCTGGGATATACTCGGCGAGCACCTGCATTACTCGCTCTCACTGGCCAAGGAGCTGACAGGGGACACAGGTATGCCTTCTCAGTTGTTCCCTATCACTTGTTCGACGACTCAGTTGCATTAATCACCGCCGCAACAGAACTCCAAGCACACTACTGCCGTGGCATCGCTCATGACGACAAGAGTGTGTTTGTAGGTACAGCATGCAGGCGTCTAGTAACTCTCTCGGTCGTCGTCTTGATTTTTAACGTTAGGTTCCTCGGCGTCCAAGCTGTTCTCGCTGACGCTAGAACCTGGCCAATGCAAAGGGCAGAGCGAGTTTGCACTGCATACGACGTCCACGATAGGAGTTCACTCGGAGCCGTTGCATGCCCTCAGCACCCCACCTGACGAGACGAGGGCGTCTGTGCTGGTCAGCAGCGATGACGACGGTGTCATTGCCGTCTGGTCGCTCGACTCGTCGGGCGCTCCTGAAATCAAGCACAAGCTCAAGCCAACGGGGTACCCAGTGACATGTATCCAAGCCATCAATTCAACTTGGGCCGTCGCGGGAGACGTCACCGGCAAACTGCGACTCGTTCAACTTCAAGATGGATACATTGCGGCGGACGTCGGCGCCCACACGAGAAACTTGAGCGCACTCGCGATACAGGACTCCCACGTGGCGTCGGTGGGCGAAGACGGGTACTTCACCCGATGACGGACACGTCGCAGAGACTGACTCGACGCATGACAGGTACCTGCATTTGTGGAAGCTGACCGAGCGGGGCGACCGACTCAAGATTTCGCTCACGCATTCGTTCCGAGTTGGCGACGACCTCCTCACTGGCGTCGCGTTCTCAGCGCAAAATCTCGTGACTGCGTCGTACGATTTGAATCACGTCAAGGTGTGGAAGGCCAAAGCGTAGCAGGGGGCCGATGAGTTGCTTGGAATATCCACAAGAACGCGGAAATAACCCGTAGAAATTGCTGCATGAGTCAAGTTGCCTTTGCTCGTTCGGATTTTGCGGAGCAATCCTCTCCATGCGAGCACAACGCACACTTTCGTTCTCTCGTTTGTACTTCCCGTGCATTGTTAGGGCCGCCGTGGGCGGCGCTCACGTGACCAAGAGACGTCGCCGTGCTTTCAATGAAGCGACTACGGAGCTCTATAGCCACGGTTGTAAGGCGCGCCTGACGCAAACTAGGACAAAACAGCCACAGGCAAATGACGAGCCGTGTGGCAGCGTTCCGAGCCGACGCAAGCTGCTGCGATCGCCTACCCGGGTGGTGCAGCATGCTATACAAATCCAATCTAGACAGAATTCAATTGGTGCGCTCGGATTCGACAAAAAGAAAATGACCAAATTTCGCGACGAAGGCGTGCACAGTCGTATTGAGGTCTGCTGAACTTTGTGGATCGGGAAGTGCTGTGCATCGGTCAGCTGACTCAAACCTCCTGCGTTGCTTGTCGCGCCGTGCATCGCACGACATGAGCTCATACTGTTTCATCGTCGTCCGAATTGTCTTGATTGTTGTTGAACAGGGCAACGGCAATGGTGATCGAGGCGAGCATTGGAGCGTCCAGTGCCGCCGTGTCGTTAGCATCCTTCCTCGTGCGATATTGCATTTTCGTGTGGCCAAATCTAAAGCAAAGCGTCAGCGTCGTCGACCATTGTGTCTGCAACTGTGATGATTGTCAAAACCTCGTACCCAAGCTGAGCGCAAAATTTCCGTCGACTCCATCGTTCGTCAACGAGTACTTGAGAGCATCACGATGATTTACGTTAGACAGTGTACGGCGCTAAAGCCCTGAAGAAATTCAGTTTATTTCTAAACCAATTATACAGCCAAACGTTGACAAAATTGTTTTCGTAGATTTTTCGAGAGTAACGCGTCGCTTCTGTTGTGGTGGCGCCCCAGACGATGATTGGCACATAAATTTGCATCTTGAATAAAATTTCCATTTTCAAGGCAAACGCGCATACCAAAACGACATACAAAAACCAAGAATGAATTTCCCTGGCGATTTATATGGTCTTGTCTTAAACCATAATCGGTTCCTTCAAATTCGTACTTGGACGTATTAGACATGAAAAATGCCTGCCACTCACGGGGAACATACTGTAGAACCACGCGGAAGATGGACGACTGTGTTTCGGTGGGTAAAAGAGGAAAACGATTGTTGAGCTTCAAGTTTGTGCTATCCTCTAAGCCAAACATTAAAGTGTTTTTGCCTAGGGGAGGCGTGGTGTTGAGCACCCTCTTCTTGAGAAATTCGCTATCAGGCAAATCCCGTGGGAGTTGAAAACTGGATACCATTCAACACGAAACAATC